TCATTCAGTCGGAAATTGTGGCAAAAACATAAAAAATATTACGAATATTAAAAGTAGCACGGGACCGAACATTTGCTTAATTGTCATTGAATCATACTATGATGAACAAGTTAAAAAGCAGTAAGTTCGGCCGGGCCGAACTTTTAATACCCTCCACCATTTGCAACGAATTTGGAAATTTTTAAAAAATAAAATCCTTAAAAAATTTTTTTAAAATTTTAAAAATACCGAATATAGCCGTTATATTGGGGTCTATACGACGTGGACATACATAGGCATTGTTTGTCATAAGCCATTACCATATTCAAATTCGAAACATGAAATAATTAGAGAATAATGTAGCTAAAATCATCAAAATATCGTATATAAGGAGGTGCCGTTATATCGGAGCTGTGCGAAGACCTGGACCAGCATAGACAATTTTTTGTAACAGGCTGTAGCATCCATTACGAACTTCAAATACCACATCTCAAACAATTTCGGTGGGTATTGTACCTAAAATCGTCAAAATACCGAATATAGGGAGGTACTGATACATGGGGCCTATACGAAGACCTGGACCCTATCACAGACTGTAGTTCCCATAACGAACTTCAAATACCAATTTTGAAACAATTCCGGTGAATAATGTTGCTAAAATCATCAAAATACCGAATATAGGGAGGTACCGTTATATGGGGGCTATATGAAGACGTGGACCTGCACTGAAAATTTTCTGTCTTAGGGTGTAGTAACCATTTTGAACTTCAAATACCAAATTTGAAACAATTCCCGTGAATAATGTCGCTAAAATCATCAAAATACCGAATATCGGGAGGTACCGTTATATGGGGGCTATACGAAGACGTGGACCTGCACAGACAATTTTCCGTCTTATGGTGTAGTATCCATTTTGAACTTCGAATGCCAAATTTGAAACAATTTCCGTGAATAATGTCGCTAAAATCATCAAAATACCGAATATAGGGAGGTACCGTTATATGGGGGCTATATGAAAACGTGGACCTACATGGCCCATTTACGAACTTAACCTGCCTACTGGAAAAATAAACAAGTGTGCAAAATTTTAGCCATCTATCTCAATTCATTCGAAAGATAGCGTGATTACAACAGACAGACGGACAGACAGAGAGACAGACAGACGGACATAGCTAAATCGACTTAGAATTTTACGCTGATCAAGAATATATATACTTTGTTGGGTCTGATATGAGTATTTCGAGGAGTTACAAACGGAATGACAAAGTTAATATACCCTCCATAGTATGGTGGAGGGTATAAAAATATAGATTTTATGGGGTCTCCAACGCCCATCTCCCATCTCACGGTAATGGGTGTTAAACAGTAGCTATCTTTGACTATTCCGAAATCTTTCTGTCCTAAATTACAAGGTAGACAAAACTAAATACCAAGCAGCACGTATTCTAAACGTTGGAAATACAAATTCCAAATTACAGCTGATTTGAATCAAGATCAGGCTATTCGAAATATCTAAAACCGACGGTAGGTGAACATCTATTATAATTTTTGCTATAAACATTTATTTCTGTTTAGAAATTACTATGGTGTCATTACTTATAATAAAAAATACTACTACTTATAATAAAAAAATATGCCTTAAAGGCTAAAAGTACGGTCCGGCAACGCGGACCGGGCCAACTAGTATATATATATATATATATATATATATATGAATAAAGAGCTCTCAAGTATCACAAGCAGTTTGTGATGATAAACAATAAATTTTGGAGCACAATTTACAAAGCGATTCTTACGTTCTATATAAGAAATTATCTCAATGACATGGATTTATTCACTATGGAGTAGTTCACAACAATTTAATGCATTTTTACCTATTATAACAACAACTTACCTTCCCAATATGAAAGTAAGTGTAAGGTTTTTAATATGATTTCTTTACTATTTCTCAGAAAACGGGGCTATAGTTTAGAATTCGACGGATTTTTGAAAAATATTTGGGATCACTTATTATTCTTCAATACTATTCCTTCAAGGTTAGCACTAAAATAAAATATCTTTATAAACTTTTGATAACATTTATAGAAAAACCATATATTTTATTACTAAAAAAAAGTATTTTTTTAACATTTGAGGGACTTGCAATTTGAATTCTTTTTGTGCGCAGTACAAGCACAGAAATTGTGAGAGAATGGTGTAGTCAAAACAAACCATATAAACTAGATAAGTGACTTGATACTCAATATTTCAGTTTTTTAGCTTGTCTACTTTGATGTTCATTGATGTGAATCCAATTCGCTCATGTAGATGTGGATATTACATGGGATAGCCAAACAGTTGATGTACCATAAATATGGGAGAAGAAGGAAGGATTTGTTGTGTGGATTTAATGTGGACATCTCGCAGCATTACAATGATTTGAATTATTCAATACAAATTTCTTAAAAAAAATGTTAAAAATATATATTGTTATTTATGAAATTGATGGAATACACTGTTTTCACTGTTTCGTTGATCCGCTGTCAAACACCCATATAGTACTTTTAAATTCGCCAATGTTGATTCCATTCAGCATGGCATTTGCTGCATAGTCTCCAGATTTGCACTCTAGTGCTTTCTGTACTATTTTTGTAACAATTATAGCACTTAAAGTCAGATTTCTTCACCTTCGATTTAGACAAAAATACCTGTGAGTAATGTTTGTCCCTGCCGTCTTGCAACGTTCCAATATTGGTAATGTGTCACCAAACTATTCCAATATTGGAAATGTATGCCGCGATTCCATTGTTTTGACGACGTAGTCGTGACCTTTAAATAAGCTGTCCACAATATAACAAGACAACGGATTCTGACTTTCGTTCTGCTCAACTTTGGGATGCAACGATTAATTTTCCTTCATCTTCGATGCCAACAATTTACAGAATAATATATTTTCCGTGCAAGTTCTTTGGGTTTGAATTTATTGTTAAGTGTTAACCAAAAACTTCTGTATATATATACAATATATGCAATGTTTTGTTACGTTCCACTGAGACCTCTTAATACTTAAAAATGGATAACGTCTCCTTGATCAGTATAGATCCCATAAAACAGAATTTTAGGACTGATTTTTACATAATTCAAAATTATTCATGGTGAAGGTTATAAAAAGTTCAAATAGGCCGAACTACCGCCACTTTTTCTTGTTTTGTATTGAAACTCTTCGCGATCGAGATTTCTTTTCACAATCATGTTCTATACATGTTTACAGATCTGTATATCACAAAATGGGTCAATTTTGTCCAAAAATAAGTTGTAGTAAACATGACAACTTTCTGAATTGGAGTATATGTATACAATTTTGTTATTATTGAAAAGAATACACGCACAAACAAAACTTAATTTTACATGACAAACCATGAAAATGGAAACAAGTGAAACAACCTTAAGTGCGGCAGAACCGGACATTTAATAATCTTCACCGTGGGACAAAAAAAAAAAACTAAGAATAAAATGATCCTTATTCCTTATTTTCAATATAACATGTTTTATTTTAAACAGCATACGAGTGAAACCGGTTGGAAAGTAAATTATGGGTGTCATAACAACACGTGAATTTTCTGCCACAACGGTTGTTATCTATTTCAAGTTTTAAGATCGGGAGGTATCGTTTTATAGGGGCTGTTGGGAAAAAGTGGGCTTATATAGACAAATTCAAATAACATTGCATGTGACTATAGAAAACGTAGACTTATATAGACAATGCTACCCTACAAGAGATTCGAACTTTATATATCAATTAAAAAAATCCCTTGAGAAATCTGGCTAATGTGATCCGAATACCTATTATTCGAAAGTATCGTTGTATTGAGGCTAAATGATAGGCAATATTGTACTACAGTATGAGGGACGCATTCGAACCCAGGTTTGAAAAATGTGGCTAGAATCATTAAAATACTGAATATCTGGACTTACCGTAAAATGGGGTTTATAGGCAAACCTGTACTTATACTTACAACATTTTGCCATCGGTGGCACCGTCGCATGAGGCCTATACAAAAACATGGGCCAAAATGGCCCAATGCCAATACTATGGTCTTAAAAAATCATATAGAAATAATACCATGCTTATGTTAGAACTTTTTGAATGCTAAACCTACTTTAAAAGGATTTATTTGAGTTCTAATGTATATGACTGCAATTAATTCATATCTAATGGATTAACCCTTTTTTGTATAAACGTACTGTAAGAACATATATATTTTGTGAGACTTCTTTTGAGGAGTCCTTCTGTCCTTCTATCAGTGGAAATCGCTATAGCTTCCGAACGAAATAAAGTAGGTTGATACAATTTTACTCAAATGTTTATTATGTCTGCAGAAATTTTTGTATTGAAAATGGACCATGTAGGTCCACGTTTTGGTATAGCCCCCATACCGTGGTACCTCCCTATTTTCGGTATTTTAGTCATTTAAATGACATTATTCACCGGAAATGTTTCAAATTTGGTATTTGAAGTTCGTCATGAATACCACAGCCTATGCCAGAAAATTGTCTTTGCAGGTTCACGTCTTCGTATAGCCCTCATATAGCGGTACCTCCCGATATTCTGTATTTTGATGTTTTAGCGATATTATTCACCGGAATTGTTTTAAATTTGGTATTTGAAGTTCATAATAGATACTACAGCCTATGACAGAATTGAGGCTTTTACGTTATTGTATGATTTCCAAATATTTTATCAGCATCAACTATAAAATGACAATGACACATTGAAACTCTATCTCATGTTTTTTTTTTTTTTTTTTTTTTTTTTTTTTTTTTTTTTTTTTTTTTGAAATTTGCAATTCTGATTCATTTGATACATAATTTGATAAATAAATATTTTGTGCAATGATTTCGTAAAAATATTTTTTTTGGACACTCTACTTATATCTGTTATTCGGGTTTTAGTGGGTCGCAATAACTTAGGATCAAAAAAATGGCGAGAATCCATATATTAGATACGCAGATGCTTATGCCTCGAAGATGGAAATATAAGTAAAAAATACTCGTGCTAATACCGCGAATTTAATTATATTTAATAGTTAATGCTTATTTCGGCAAGGCCGAACTTTTCAAACATTCCTCCATGATGTGAAGAAAATATTTATTAATAAATGTATCTGGATTCAACATTCGAACGAGTTCCATTTTAACTGCAAATATCAGTGAATTCCGCTGGCGAAATCTGGTAGTATGGCAAAACATTCAACGAACAGGAAATTGCGTCGATTTATCCATATTTTTCAACTGAATTCTCTTAAAATAGGCACATTCTCTGACCGATATTTGTCTATGTACACTGAGGGAAAAATCCCGTTGCGAAATCAAGCACGTATGTTGTCATTTTCGCAACGACCCGTTGTTATATTTTTCAACAACGGCTGTTGGTGAATTGTGCACGAACGTGCTCAAATTGACACCGAGACGTAGTCAACTTTCGGTACCAACAACAGCCGTGCTTAATTTGTCCACCGATGTGCTCAAAATGACAACTTTGGGTTTTTAATATTGGTAATTGCAGCCGATTACACACGAGTAAAAAATGACAACGGTGGTGCATGATTCACACACGGTCGTTGTCAATATGACACCGGTCGTGTATGAATTATGCACCACCACCTGCATAATGATGCACCACCGTTGTTACTTTGTACACCGACGTGCATGAATCGTACACGATCGTTGCCATTTTAGCAACTACCGTGTATGAATCATGCACCACCGTTGTCATTTTTTACTCGTGTGTAATCGGCTGCATATTTACCATTTTTTCCGTGTTATTGAAAGAGAAAGGACGCATTGTGCAAAAAATTTATTGAAAATGAATAATAATTCGCAAGATCCTCAAAATATCATTGGTGAGTTGTTAGAAATCGATGGCAATATTGTTGTGGTTCGCGATACAAACCATTGCAGCAGTCAAGATGCGGAAAACAATGAGGACGATTATATGTTAAGGGAGTTCTTAAAAGGAATAAATATGGAGTCGCTTTTTGAACAATTAAAAGGTAAGTAAATAAAAATGAATTTTTCAGTTAATCAGTGTAATTAACAAAGAATTTTCTTTTTTGTTCTTTTAGCATCACATGTAACATTTCGCAGTTTGCAGTACTTGAAAAAAGAAGATTTAAAGGAAGCAGTGCCACCATTGGGACTGCGAGTTGAATTCAGAGAAAAGCTCTTTGCTTGGAAAAAACGAAAGGTACGTATTATTTGTTTTACAGTGTTGAACTCAGTATTAATATTGTCATAACAATAGCTCGGGATTGATGACGAAACTATGTCAGTTCCATCTAAAATAGGTGAATGGTGGAAACGCAACGAGACACCTGCAAGTACTCCTGGTACTCCCGACACTACAGGTTCGAACTGCTCAAAAGCCAAAGGAATTTTGTCAGAGGTAAGGTAAGAGTAATATTTGTGTAAGCATAGTTAATGTAGTTTTTTTATTTAATATAGGATCTAACGGAATTGTTAACACATACCTCGAAGGGGAAACTAGCGCTTGAATGTAGTAGCGTTAATAAGAAATTAAGTGACGAGCAAAGAGATGATATAATTAATATAATTATTGAAGATATTTTAACCAACAATGTTACTCTTTACACTCAAGACTATATGCGCATATTGGATGAAATTTGTTCCGTTTTTCCTCTTGAAAACGAAATGAGGGTAAGATTAACAACGACAACAATATAAACAACGTATCTGATTATGTAGTTTCTTAACTTATAATATGTCTTTATTTTTAGGATTATTATTACATTTCAAGAAAAGGAAAGAACAACGCAAGCGGAAAACTTTATGCCAAGTATAGAAACAAGAAGTCCAAAAGAATAAAGCTTTTGATTTCCGAGCCTAGCACAAGCAAAGCAGCAACTCACTCATCTCTTACCCATTTCACTTATATCCTATGAATAATGGAAAAGTTTATTTCAGATTTAAGTTAATTTAATTTGTTTCTATACATTGAATATATGTAATTCGAATTGTTTTGTTAAATCAAATATGTATTTATATTGAATTTATGTAATTGGTTTCGTTCAATAAAATACTTTTCAAAAAATTTCGTTTCTTCTACTAAGGGTATAAAATGGAAAAGGAACGGATATCAAAAAATGACCACCATTGATTTCAATCTGACAACGGGCGTTGACAATCCGACAACGGAGCGTTGACAATCTGACAACGAAGCGTTGACGATCTGACAACGAAGCGTTGACAATCTGACAACGGGGCGTGCTCGAAATGACCACGTATGTGCTCATTTCATGCACATCTGTTGTTGAAATCGTTGCCAAAATCTCGGTGTCAAAATGACAACGGCGTGCTCATTTTGACACCAAACGTGGTTGATACACTATCATACACGGATGTGGTCATTTCATACACGGATGTTGTCATTTTTTCTCTGGGTGTAGGTCAACGTGTTCGTATAGCCTCAACGTGTTCGTATATTTTGATATCGCAATAACAGATCAATTTCATTGATATTAGGTATAATCAAAGCACGTAAGACGTGCAAATGTATTAAGTTTGGAATGAGAAATGGATAAGTAGAAGAATAATAATTTTATAGAGCTGATTTTTTTGAACGTGAATGTTATAGCAAAATTATTAAATTATTGCAATTTTGCATGAAAGGCTATTTGTTTTAATCGTTATTTGGATATAAAATTGTACATACTTACAAATACCTAAATAAATATAGTTGTGTACATATAAAAGCACACTTCATATAATTTATTTTTACCCTTTTCCATTCCAGAAAAAGCATACGGTGGGGTTTAAATGCTCAACAAATAGTACATGCAGATATTTGTGGAGATGTGCGCTGGAGCAAATGTTATTTTTTACGTAAGATATAATTGTTTGTAACACTTTTAAATGTAGTAAAACTATATTATTTTTTTCCAATCTTAAACCTTATCAAAATAACATTTGGTATTTATCCGATAACATTACCAGAAAAGCATATGTATTAAAAAAGATAAATATGTATTAATAAATAAATCCTTTTGTTTCAGTAAAACGCTTTGATCTTGGATCGGAGATATTCTCTTTAACGAGCTTCAGTTTGTTATTAGCTTGCTCTGAATTTGTGATATTCTGCTGTTGTGGTGTTATGTTACAACAATCGTTGAATTCCTAACATTACCTAATGTATCATTAACTCCTTCCTCGAATGATCGAGCATCCCGATTTATATTTTATATCAATGTATATCAATGATAAAGATTATACTCTTGATTCGTTCCTGTAAGGGTCTCAATTTTACTTTGTGCTGTTTTCATAACATACTCACTAGTGGGTCTTGATGTTTGGTTTTCGGATATTAGATCCTTGTAATTATTTTAATAAGATTCACATTGAAAGGACTTCCATATATGGCTTATCTTTAATAAATAATATTTATAAATAAATAAGCATGTTTCGAATTTAAAGTTCCGACGTTAAATTCCATTGTAGTCTTACTAGGTTACAAGTAGTGTTGCTAGTTTTTGTTTAATAAGTTCCATATAACATTTACTTTATTTCGCTTATATAAATATCTTAATGATTTTGGGCAAAATATGGCGCAATTTATTTTTATTGCAATCGTTATTCACACAACTATTTCATTATGGTATTTTAAAAAAGTTGCTACAGGAATAATAGTTATGGAATTACAAGTTTCTGTAATAATTTTTGAAATAACTATAATTAACAACTAAAGAATTGTTTGAGTAATCAGGTTTTGTATTTTTTGGTATTATGAAAGTGTCTTTAAATCAGTATCTTTTTTAACTTTTGAAATGGTCATATTCGTTAAGTTTTCCATTCCTTATTGTTATCTGTGAAATCGTTTATCTTGTTAAACAATAATTTAAAAATTGTGGAACTATTTCCATTTTCTGTTGACATAACAAGTTTCTAAATGACTTTTTATACCCTACAACACTATGTGTTGGGGGTATTATAAGTTTGATTGGGCCAAAAATTATGTAACACCTCGAAATATTGATTTCCCACATAGGAAAGTATATATGGATCTTCCTATCTCGCCGAGCTAAGTCGATCTAGCTATGTATGTCCGTCCGTCCGTCTGTCCGTCTGTCCATGTTAATTTGTAATCACTCTACAGGTCGCAATTATGGCCCGATCTTTACGAAATTTAGAATGGAGGTGGGGTTAAGGTCAGAATAGAACTCTATTTCTTTTGGAGATGATCGCATAATATTTTGGGGTCGAAATGGACCAAAAACTGAAAAATTTCTTGATTTTGCAGTTGCTCTACAGGTCGCAATTATGACCAATCGACGCGGAAATTAGCATGCGGCTAGAGCTTCGGGCTGGGCAGAAGCCTTCCAATTTTGATGGTCATCGGGTAATATTTAGTGGGTGAAAGAGACTATACATTTGTGTTAAATAAAAGTCAAATTTCCATTAAACCGCTACTATTTTTAGTCCCGGCGAAATCATAAATAGACGAACAGGTCAATTCTGACCGTTACGTAGATGCCGATAGTAAATATATCGGATATATATAGCGAAATATATACAATGTGTATATACAAAGAAAAGGAATGTTAGATGGAATGCTTATATCTCAAGAATGGGTGGACCGATTTTGACAAATTTTGCCAATTCAGAACGCGCTCTTGACATAAAATTAAAAAATCTAAAAAAATTGCATAAAAATAAGTCAAAAATGATGTTAATATAGATTTTGTAGTATTTTGTGAAATTTTTTAATTTTTTCATATTTTTTATCGCATGCGATTTTTTCAATTTGACTTATATTATTTAGGTATACATTTTGTAATATTTTTCCACCTTACAACACAGGTTTGGGATATTATATACAGATTGCAATTATCGTCCGATCCTCACAAAAAGGGTAGGGTTAGGCTCAGAAGGGCTAGGCCTATTGTTTTCAAAGATGTCCGTTATAAAGGTCACAAATAGAAACTAATGAACACGAAATCTCGCATGAAGTTAGAGTTTAGGACAGCGGGTAGAATGAACTATTACTTTTGTCTGAAAAATACCAACATTACTTACAGGCGATAGCCGAAATACAAAACGCAAACTTCTGCCTTTTTTGCTGATTTCGTTGATGAATATAGCCAAATATCGTAGATAAGCAAATCATATAGATGAGTCTAAATTTAGAAATACGGAGGGATCTCTTGCTTTTGGAGATGATCGCACAATATTCAAAAACAGGGAAAATATCCTGATCACACAATTGAAGCCAATCGACACGCCTGAGAAGAAAGTTAGGGACAGGGAAGAAGTCTAGCATTATGTATGGCAATTGGATTATATTTAGCCGTAAAATGGACCACAAAAACCAACAGCACGACGGAGTGCGTAAATATTGGGAAAATGTCCCTGGTCAAAATGCTAAGTGTAATATCTGGGCAGTGCTCCGTGACATAATTTCAAAAGCGAAATCGTCCAAAATGGATTTGGGCATAAGGGGGCTTCTAACATATTCTAGTGTTGTAGGGTATCACATGGTCGGCCCCGCACGACTATAGCCTTTGCTTACTTGTTTGAATTATTTTTACTGCTTGTGTCAGCACTACGGATTTGCTATTTTCCTTTATGATTTATTCTATGAACTTCTTTGATAATTTAGCAGTTTATAGGTTTTTCCCGCTAGCAACGTAGATTCTCAGGGTTAAAATAACTTGTTCAATTTAAGACTCCTCACAGTGCAAACAACTGTAAACTTTAACATGGGAATGTCATACGAGTTAGCCAATTGACTTCCTTTGCATTACCTTTAGATGGTACTATTCTAGTTCCATATTTACTGTCATGTATCAGTGACCAAAGACTAATCCAGGTATAAAGTTCGTTGTTGGTTGATTTTTTTGGTGGTTTTATTTATTCGCAGCTGTCGTCTTTTCGTTTACTTGTGGAAGAAAAAAGTGTCAATTGGTTTCCTTAGCATTACTTAGGGACACATTCTGTACTTGCACGGTTAATAACTAGTGCAGGACAGACGAAATTGGATTAATTGGAATTTTCATTGCTAGCGGGTTTTACTAAATGTATAAAATTTTCAGATAAATCTTCTTCCTTATGTACTGATAGTGCATTCGTTAGTGCTACTTGATTAATAAAACAGACCATAGTTGTTTTTGGTATATTATTACGTTACTGAGTTTATTACTTAACACAAATGTCCACCAGCCTGTCAGTTAATAGTTTTATTATATATGTCACAACATAAGAAATGCTTAAAACCCAAATAATAGCCAGTATCAGCTTTGCATAAGTAGCGTATTACTCTTATGTCTTACTGAATGTTCTAGAAAGTACTGAGAATGGCGCCCAATGCGTAATTCGAAGAATCTGTAAGGGGTTCAAAGAATTTATCAAATTCGAAATAATGCAATAGAGCTTTCCCGACATTAAGTCACTTTCAAGTTACTTATAGCTTTAATATGAACAGGGCTAAGGACTATGAATTTTTTTTAGATAGGTTTCTAAAAATTTCAGCAATATCACCACTCTATATCGAAGTTAGTGGTTCGGCTATGTGAGTGTATGGGTTTGCAGACAAAATTGAGATCTTCCTTGGGGATATAACTTTTTTAAAATGAATCTTCATATTGGAACTTTCCAAATTTTAAAATATTAATTGCCATATCTGCGACTTGTATTCACGTAGATATTTTTTTCACAGTTAAAAAACTGGTATTATCAGCATTGGAAAAATTTTGAAATATGCACAGACTAGAGTTCCAATTGGAAAACCTAAAAAGCAGAACAAGGATCCGTAAATTTTATAACTGAAAAGTTCCTCCTCTTGGATTATTCTCTTTCAAGATAGCCGCTACTAACGTTGGGCTAGCACCGATAAATACGGGAAGTTTTTAGCTGATTCTTATTTTTACTGCAGAATTATGAATAAGTGATCGAGCATTTAAAAATTGTTATTGAACAAAACATAGACACCTAACATCTACTCCTACCCTTCGCAATCATCACATATCCAAAATAAAATCCTACATATTAAGACTAAAGCCGAAAGTACATTCAAGAAATTATTGGGCCTACACTACAAATAACGAGAACTGTAAACACACTTTACAGTTACACTTAACAATCAGGGGAATTCTAACTTCTAAAAAAGAAAATCTGGGGTTTTAAGATTTGTAATTTAAATTTAAACAGCATAACTAAACTAAGAGACACAGTCAGTATTGCTCAGCTATTAGTAAGCGGACCATCTACATGTGCAGTAACCAACAACAAGGACGTACCATCTGTCGAAGAAATAAGGAGCGACCTACTTCTTGAATCAATTCATTCGACACATTTTGATAAATGAATCACCCCTATCTTTGGAAGGTGAAGAGCCTCAATTAACCCTTCAGATATACCTATTTCGAATTGGAGTTTTTCACCGAATGTTTCCAATACCATAATAATCTTAACGGGAGAGATCGATGATTTTCGTGGCGATTTCTTGTCGTCACCCGCATTTCAGTACCTTTTCTCAGCCATGTTCATTACCTCTCTATGTAAGAATGGGGGGACTTTGTAATTTGGTAAAAAACCCACAAGATGAGCCTAAGAAAAACGAGGCAAAGTTTCCGCGCACTCATAAATATTTGTTACACAAAGACGAACAACAATAATTATGAACACTAGACAACACAACAAGTATACAGGTGATACTTGTTAATTAGAAACTGGTGGTGTAGTTAAATGAAACACTTGTTTTAATTAAAAAACGCTGGCAGTCTAAATCTATGTTTAACTGTCAAAAGAATTCTGTATATTGTGGCATAATTTTAGCTTCTTCTTATCTTCCTTAATAACAACAGTTAATCGTTGAGGTATCGATGTTCGAC